TTAGGTTTTACTGTTTGTACTCAGTAAATGCTGAAATTCTTAACGCGTCTTTATTGCAAGGAATGAACTTAAAACTTTAATTAATAATCCATTAGTTCACAAATCCGATTATTGTTTTATTTTACATTATATTAATTAAATTTTCTAGAATTTTAAATGGTTTTTAAATGACTCTTAATAGTCTTATCAATTTTAAATAGTTATACCTATATATATATATATATATACTAACTAAGTATTTTTTATACAAGGCTAAATGATTTGTTTAATTTTTAGAATGAAGGTATATRAATGGCATAAACGTTAAATCGATTAGTATAACCGTATTAGTTTTAAATCCAAGCGTATATACTATATATATGATGGTTTAGCAATGAGTACAGTACATGATATGCATAAAAAGCGTATATCTGCTTCACACGATTGAAAGCCTTTGAGAACACTCAAATCTCACGAATTAGGTCACAATACGACCTAATTATCAGCAAATGTGCTGAACATTCAAGCATTTCTGAAAATGCACAACATTTACAAATTTATTCTATGACTTAAGGAATTGCATATTAATTAGAGTATTGTTTAAAATCTTTTCATTTTCACACTTTTACAAGTTTAAACCGAAATAATAAATTTAGAATCTTATAAAATATATATTTAATTTAATTTTAATAGCTCCATATAGAATTCTKATAAAAAACAATTTAATAAATTATGTCTAAAGCTTCATAAACRCTACAWTAATAACRCTATATATACCTAGTCAATTTGAAAATTGATTTAATTTAATTTTTATGTYCTTAAAAACAATTACATTTATAACRTAGGTTCGACTTATATATATATATATATCCAGTACCAGTGTCCAAATATCCATACACGGYAGTGATTACTGGTATACTACCGTATACCTACCGGTAAACAGTGTTCCTATTTATTCTCSACCATGACAACGTAATCCATGATTAAAAAAAAAAAATTGTAGGTTATAATATTTACGGCAATAGTGTTTAAAAATAAATATCATATTGCATATTGTAAAACAATTACCATAAACATTATATGTTTAAAAAATGATTATTTGTCGTAAATCATAGTTCACGTTCCACAGTGGAGAAGTCATCTTAAACACGTTTAGTTAGTAAAAAYAAAAATTGTAAAAATTACACTACAATTTTATTATATACCTATATATGTACTATATTTACGTGTAATACGTGAGTTTACGTTATAATAAAATATATTGCAAAATCGTCGTTTCAGTTTCAGTGCATTTTTATCTACATTTTAATTTTAGATGGGTAAAATGTCACTCGGCATATTGTACAGTGCACAGAACGGACAGCGTTAATACAATAATACCTAATATAAAGAAATAACAATCAGCCGAAGTCGAGCAAGAGAGTAATTAGCTCTCAGAGAGAAATATAATAAACGAGAAGAGTTTAGTGCAAAACCATTGAATTTTTCTCCCTAATAATCCTCAGTTTTCCTGGCGATTCTGCTGTAATATAATATATGTGTGTGTGTGTGTCTCTATATTATATGCTTTCGTGCCGTGGTGACGAGGTAAGAGCTTAAATATCATTACAACGTTTTAACGGTCGAGTTAGTTTATCTTAAACAATTACGGTAAAAAACGATTAGGAGGTGGTTTTGCGTAATTAATTAATTTACGATTTTTTTTTTTTTTTATTATTTTATCTGATGTATTTTTTTTGATTCCATACAGTTTTGAATAGGAAGTACGTCTTTATGTCGAGCCTAATGTTATACACGTTTCGATGGTCCACAAAAGCTGAGCTTATTTATCTACCTGTAGTAAAATATTGTCAATCGTTTGAAGTTGCAGATTTTTTCACAATAATACGTACCGGTAGAACAGGTTATAGATTGGGTATTCTATTTCTATCATTTGAATAATTAAAATACAGTGATAAAAGAAGATCAAAACGAATGGATCGTTACAGCTATATAGGTACCTTATGCATATTATAATATATAATTAAATTATAATGATTTTAATTTTAATTTTTAAGTAATTTGGAATTGGCGTAAAATTATTGAGTAATAAAATATAACATGTGAGAAATCTTTCTATACGAATTATTGGACTGATCAACGAAAACTCGAGATAGATTTTGCGATACCTATACATAGTATACATGTATGTTGATTTCAAAAACTGCGAAATTGATTAGCGCTAGGTATAGTATCTTAGTGCCTAATAAAATAATAGCGTAAAAATAAATTTATAATCTGATACAAAACTGTACTTGTACATATAAGTTTTAGTTTAAAATCTGACTCTCATTATATTGAGTTTTCAAATATCTACAGTTTACTTTTGTTTTCCAACAACAACATTGATCGAGTTTAGTTGAAATTTAGTTTTATTGCATCGTATTTTATCAAAATGTGTTACAACAATGGTTGATAATCATTTAATACAAAACCACGCAGTATTTATTTATTTATTTATTAAGTATAAAAAAGTTGGGTAACTTCATAGCTATATATAACTACCTATTATATACACCTTTTAGCGAATTGTTTGACTTCATCATTAGTCGTTTTGTTTTCGTTATGTTTTGAATCATAATATATATATATATCAGATATTTACTTAAAATATTAGTCAGTTCGCGCTACAGCTATACTACGACCGTGTGCGTATGCGTCCGGATTTTTTAAAAATTAAAATTATAAAACAGGGTGTCATTTCAGTTTTTTTCCGGGTGTGCGAGATTTTAGGCAGGCCCAATTTTAACATTTCACTAGGCCGTTTTAAAACAAAAATGTTTACATATAAATGTATATTAACTATTAACATTATCTCATTTCCTTAGGTATATAATCCTATTTGCTCATATCAACCAATGTATATCTTTCAAATAGTTAGAAGCTCAACTCATTAAAAGCTTATACGCAACTAAATCAACCATCCAACTGAAGCCATTATTGCGTTTTGGAGAAAAAAGGCAAATTTAGTATTAAGGAATTTACTCCTTAATCCCAAAATTAAATATTTTTCATACAAAACATTTAAATATCACATCATTAAATATTTAAAATTATAATTAGTGGAAATGTATTCGGGTTCTTATGTGTTTACTTACCTCTTCTAAACACTGCAGGCTTCTTCTTTCTCTATGGCTTTAACCATCAAATGATTATTTAATCTATCATTACCCATGGTATTTCGTAAATAGATATTAACTAGTTTAAAAGATGGAAGAATATATTTCATTAGGAGCTGTCGATATTTCCATATTGGTCAAGCTAATAATGTAGAAATAATTTTTATAAAGTTTCATTGTGTGCTTCAGAATAATCTTTAAAACATGATCAAGACATGATTTAAGGCACACTTAAGACCTAAAGTTAATCATTGGTCTTGACTCTTGTTTACTTTCTCAAGAGAGCCGACATATTATCACTCGTCAACGAATATATTGAAGGACCAACATCAACTTGAAGTTATATTCGCTAAAAGTAATATACCACATTTTACTGTTTTCCCGAACTACCACCTGTCAGCAACTACTATTCGAGTATATATATATAAAACCATAGAGTCATTTATAAGTATAGTAACTCTATGAGTAAAACATAGCTCACGGCCGTGGTTATATTACGTAAGGATAAAATAGATAAAAATAATTAAATAAAACACATTACACGAACAAAAATAATTATTATATAATACCTGTACTAAAATATTAAAATATTAAAATTTATAATATATTTTATTCATATCTAATAGTTAATTATAACAGCGCATAGGAGCATTAGAGTATGACCATTTATTAACACTATTAAGTTAGTGGTGTTGTCGCACACCCTGCCACCAAAATGACACTCTTGATTCAGAAATTATTTATAGAAATGCAATTTACACTAAATTATACAAAATGGACAAGTGCCCATGTATATGTTATAGGTATATTAGGCATGTTTGGTAAGTCAGTGAACTTCAATTATTTTACCCATTAAAATGTATTCAATATTTTAACGGAAAACGGAAATATATTTCATATTCATAATACTGTAGATAATCGGTATATTCAGCGACATACAGTTAGTTTAGGTCAGGTATAATTGTAAACGAATGCGATCGAATGCAATTTCGAAGTGATCAAAAAACATTAGTTGTCATGAACTGATTACGGTTGAAAATACGGAACTATTAGGTACAAGATACTATATGTTTAATATATAATATAATGGAAACGTCTGAAAGTAAAATGTTAGGCGAATATATTATGACCCGTGCCGAGACCCACTATAAGCAGAAAGTGGAGATGACTACACAACGAAGAACTCCACAAAATTGTTTCAATGGTCCTGCAGTATTATGACGAAAATCATGAAAAKAAGTTTGATGTGGGCTGGACCACATGCCTGGTGGAAAAGTTATATATATCATGATAAAAACGGTAATTGAAGAATACCCGATAGGAAAAAGACCACCAAGCAAGATTGTGTGAAAAGAGATGTAAAAGCTGTAGACCCAAATGGAGGAGGGAAATAGCAGAAGACAGAGAGAGATAGTGAAAAGTTTGTTTTACGGTTGGTCATAAAAGCCGGAAACCAAAAAAAAAAAATAAAAATATTTTTATGGGTTTAGCCATTGAATAAATGTATTATTCTGTAATTTCATTTATTTTATGGCTTACAAATTGGTTTTCGGTTAAAAATGTTTGGTACAGCTCTAGCGCCAATATACTATTTGAATATACAACGAGTTCAATGTAGTAGTGCAGCTCTTAAGATAACAAATTATACGATATGTAGAATTGATAACTGATATAATACCTCAAATATTATTAATTTTACCTATTTTCAAGTAGTTTTAAATAAGATTGTGATCGTAACGTTGAAAAAATACGTAAGTGAATACTCAACACCTGGCACTTAAATAATTAAATTATACCTATGAGAGCTGTAAAAATATTATAAATTACAATAATATAATATAATATAATATGATTAATAATTACTTATTCTGTTTCAAAAGTTCGTTCGAGCGTGTTCAAACGTTTTGAAGGTGACATCCAGCAGTAAAAATAATAAAATAATTCAATAAACGTTGGATTATGACGAAGATAAAAATTGTACGATGTTGTCAATATTCTGTAACATTATATTTCATCTAATGTACATAAAATGTCAAAATCGGGGTTATCATAACTGCAGGTTTTAGTTACATTAATATTAATAACGGTTTGATAGTAAAAAGTGTTTTAATCACCTGTCATATGCCCGTCAAAAACCACTCTACCGAAATCTGAATAATATAGGTACCAACTTACTAATGGGTATATATAAACATTTTTACTTAAACATCACGGAATATGTTATATATAAWACCTAATAAATTAATTTGTACTACATGAGATCTATAGAAAGGGAATGGACTGTGAATGTAATGATTGCGAGAAGTATGGTCATCGAACATAAAGCTGTTACAATAACTTTACAATAGTGGCATTATTATTACCAAAGTTTTAGAGGTTTTTCAACTTTCTAATATATCTATACGTGATTAGTGTTCAGAAAGGTTTGTTTGATTTAGTACAAGAAAAATAGCAAACAATATATTAAATGCGTTGAAATAATGCATTATTCAATATATTATTAAAAATAAATATTAAGATTAATAGAATAATATTAGCATCATGTTAAATGTCTAAGCCATCAGACTAAATTCGATACTATATACCTATATAGTTACAGACGTTATGGTAGGTATATATTACAGCGTCCCGGAAGTAATGCCTTCGCATTACTTCCGCGGCGTCGTTGATTAAAACTGAAAAAAGTATGCATTATTATTATTTATTACGGAAAAATAATAACTAGGTCAAATAATGTGTATTAAAATAGTATATTAAAATAACGAATATAAAATATCATTAGGTATCAATAGCAATTATTATAGTAGTATATATATAAGTAAATAAAGACAAGTATAAAATAATGTAATGGCTTATAAGAAAACACGTAGTTTGGCACTTTAATAGTCTTATTGTACAATAATAAAAATATTTTTCATTGAGTAAAATATATAATGATATGTGTAAATTAAAAAAAAAAAAACGACGAATAGACATATTCAAAAACACGCGTTCGATAACGTCCTATATTGGTGTTTGTAAAACCATAAAAGAAAATAACTCAAAACACATATAATACAAATATAAAATTGTGCGTTACCCATATAAATTGTCAATTATTGTTTTCGTCGCGTTGCGATGAAATGTTATACGTTAGGCAATAGAATAAAAAAATTCACGCCGRTTACCACACCCCCGCGAGAAAATTACTGTTATTATTCCGTCGAAACAATAAAACTTATGCTTTTCACGTTTTAAAAAGACGCCTGAGCACGATTCCCTCGCACCCAAATGTCTTAACCACTCCGGTGTTCTCTCTCGAATCTAAATTATTAATATAATGTCAGCGAACGTGATTGCCATCGTTTTTGTGTACCTATACTGACTCACCGCCGTGTTTTTACGTCCATTAACGAATGCACTAAACATGGGTGCATTTGAACTTAGGAAAAGGGAGTGTGTGACAGACTTACAGTTATCACACTTACATGTATATAATATATTCTGTAATCTGTTSCTGTGTAGTTTATGTGCAATATATTATAACGACAGTCGACAATAGTACAATACTAACAATAATGGTGGTTATGAGTTATGTGTTTATGACTCGTGATTTATAGCAATTAATCAATAAATAGTAAAATTCGTTGATATTGTGTATCGTATTTTTTAGAAAAAGAGTTGAATACWGCAGTATAATATAATAGGTATATGGAACTAAAAAATACGTGATCAACTAAAGAAAAAATATACTAACAACAAAAAGTTCTAAACAACTGCGTATCATGGATAAATGAAAAATAGTAAAACTTATTTTGTGTAATACACGTTAAAAGTTATACGTACCATATGCAAAACGTCTCTATATTAGGTCAAAGTGCATATAGATTTTTCAATTCAAGTAAAAAAAATGTCTTTTCAAACAWTCAAATATACTGATCACTGAAAAACATGAATAGGGTAAAAAAAATGTATTCATATTCTATATACGAGATGATTACACGATGATTTTTTAAACACGATCATCTCTTTTTTGTGCTAAAAAAATTATAAAATTACATTTAATGYCAATTTATTCGAATTACAACTTTCAGAATTATAACGAACACAGCCACACTATCACATTTTTAAATATTTAAATGTTTATGGTATTTGAAGGGACATGCTCTGTGCTCCTGTGGTGATGCCAACTTATATTTTTACAAACGTTTCTTTTCATTTAATTCTTATGTCACTTGTTTTTTAAATATTTTGATATACCTACTTATTGAAATCAAATTAATTTAAACGAACGATTTAATATTTATAATATATATTCAATTGAAAATGTATTATAGTTTATAGACCACGCAGTGGGGAAATTTTGAATTTAATTGTGAATAGAAAATAATAATTTAGGTAATAGTGAAATGTTTCTATTATTGATTAATAGTTTTTTAATAATAATCGTACAACGGAAAAATCGTTATACGTTTGAATATCCAATGTCATCAATATTTTAACCTCAAATACCTACTCATAAAAAATGTAAGTGGCTTTATACTCAAAACTTTTATTTTATACTTCAATAAAAAAAACTTATGGAGAATCTTATATAACATTTTCGAGCCTTAAGAATTTTTTTACCAAGACTCCTTAGTATCTAATATCCCCTAAGTATCAAATTTTTATTACCTAAATCCACCCTTAGAGTTGAAAATTGAAACATTTTTACCACTCCAGAAGGTATTGACAGATACAAAGAAAAAAAAAATACTAATAATTGTAAGACCAACACGGCCAAACCAATACAGTTATCGCTCGGCTCATTATCTAAAACGCTTGTTTAATGCGATTTACTGCWAGGTAAAAAGGGCCGCAGTAGACATATTGTAATCTCCAGGTATAGATATACCTACCTAAACACAATATTTCCGAAATCTGTTTACGGAAAACCCACATATTGTTGTTTGAGCGTAGAAGCATAGGCGGTGAACGGGCAGCTTAAACAAAAATGATCGTCGCTTACAGTAAGTTGAAACATGATGATGTACACATCGCAACCGTTCTTCTTTTTTATGTACCTATTTTTTATTATAGGCGTGCGAAATAGTATACGCACTCGGTCGAATATACTTAACCTGCCCCAATACGTTCGCATAATATATATGATATATTATTAAATATACGCCGAAAYGCAAAGACACGGATGGTGACGACGGTTCCAATCGTCGTCCAGTTGGCGCGTGAGAAATATTCTTCAGGTTGTGTGCGTGTAGTCGCGCCGCCGTGGAGGTGGGTTGGGGGTGGAGGTCGATGTCCTCCGACGGAAGACAACATCGGCACAGAGCAAACACGTTGGTATTATATTCTTTTACGACGCGTGAAGTGTTGATTGTGGTCAGTGGGAAAATTGCAAAAAAAAAAATCGGCGTGGCCCACGGATATTTAAACGTCATAAGTGAGACACCGCCGTTTATTGTTTACGTTTCGTTTCACGTTTATCGGTGTACGCGATGAGGAACTCGATGGTGGCGGCAGCGGTGGAGGCGACGGTGGTATACAGTAGCCGAGGTGGAGGTGATGGTGGCGACTGCGGCGGAGACACAGCAGACCACGGCGGCGTGTAAAATGCGATTGCGCGGCTATTATTGATTCTGTGCTTCGTACTAACACAGGTCGTCATTATTATTTACCGCGCGCGAGGCAACGGCGCGGCGGCAGAATACACACGCACACACACATCAGTGTAGATGGAAGGGGGGGGTGATATTTATACGCTTTTTTATTAATACTAATAAAAATAACATATTATATAGTGAAYGTTTATGTATATTGTTATGTAATATATATACACAGTATACACTAAAAGTCGAAATATAATGTATAATAAGATAGGAGCGCATATTATTGTTATTATGTATGTATGGGGGTAGTGACGGGCTTTGGCCTCTTTATGGCTGATGAACCAACTACTATGCGGGGTTGTCGAAATCTTAACGCTTTCTTGGGAACGTTCGAACAGTCATGGGGCTACGTATGACATATCTATATATATATACAAGTTTATAATATATTGTATACGCTAATGTATGTATTAAATTCATACGACGCACCCGCCGTACATCGATGTATATTATATATATATATTTGCTTCACATAACGGAGTACCTATAATACATATTATATTATGTGCCCGAAGAGTAATAAATTTGTCCATACAAGCGAAGTTTATGTCTATATGTATATGATATGTTATTTTACAACGAAAATATTCTCGTTAAGTATATACAAATCATATATAATATATATCATATAACGCAGACGTAAGTTTATAATTCGCAATCCACAAGTTTGACGAGTTCAATCGTGTATAGACGTATAGGTTGCATGTAGTTATTAATAAAAAATATAAGTATATTATATTAAAATAACGGTACTTGATTTATCCACTATTAAAGTATTAATGTATTAGATATTAATACATCATATTTTAATATATTAATAATAATAATACTTATTATAATTTATAGGTAATCACGTGGACGGACTTTCGTCAAAAACGTTTGATCTCCTTCGAAAAACGTGCACAAAGCCCAGTTTAACGTTTTTYCAAAACCCACATAAACCCTATAATATGTCCTATAYGTATATTGGTAGTATACCTATTATGATGGCTGCAGTAAGTCAATATGTGTATAAATAAGCTTTAATAATTAATATCATAGGTATAATATTCAAGTACGAATACTAAATTACAGAAATATGCTGTTAAAACTAATCCGTTAATTCCGATATCGTTAATTCAATTATTATAATTTTTTTTTTTATTCGTTAAAGCACATCTAATTTGATGTACTAGAAAGAACGTTTTAAATATTAAAAACTCAATAGTTAAAAAAATAAAAATATTAAACTTATTGGACACATACTAGTTGCGGAC